ATGGTAACCCTAGCAGTGTGTGCGCTATGCCCTGGGCAGAGATGCTGGGCCCTGCTCCCAGCCCATGTCTCTGCAGGCAGCTGGGTCAGCAGTGGGAGGCCACACGCTGCACAGCTCTGGGCTGCAATGGTTGGAGCTGGTTAGAGCCAGGCCCCGACGTTCCAGGAGCCCCATGGCAGACAGGCCCCTTCCCCGGGCTGTGCATCTAGTGGCCCCCAGGGGGTCGGCCCCCGCCCGGGGGGCAGGGAACAGGGGTTGGCTGGGGGCCCAGACGTACCAATCCCACCGAAGGGCAGCGAGATTAGCGTCATTTGCATCATGGTGTCGTTGGCACCAAAACCGCCGCTGCTCGTCTGCTCCAGCACCCGGCGCACCAGCTGGGGGGAAGCAGAGATGGGGAGTGAGCGAGCCCCATTCCCGCCTGATACCCACCCGCAGCTCCCCCCAATGCCACCCCATCAGCTGACCCGGAGCCCCTCCCACACAGCTGCTTCCCTCCGGGAGGGGCGACCAGGCCCGGGCGGGGTGTGGGACACTGGGGCAGTCTCTCCAATTCCTACCCAGCCCAGCCATGTTCTCCAGCCCGTCCTCTGCTGCCCCCTTGCCCTCACGGTTACGTCACTGCCCAGGCAGGTGAGGGAGTTCAACCCTCACCTTGTAACAGCCACGCTCCTCCCCACGTCTCCCACCAGGGCGGTGCACTGCATGTTCACCCAGGACAGTCAGCCCGACTTAGAATCGAAGGGGCTGCAGGCACCAGGGCAGCCTCTGTTACCCACCAGCCAGTGCCATGCACACAGGGTGACTCTGCGGCTGGGGCCCTGTGCTGACCCCTGAAGGGCCCCAGTTCTGTCCTCACGACTGACAGAGACCTGGGCTGGTTTCATGTCGGTCGTACAGTCTCACAGTGCCACCCGCGTCTGGATGCTCTCACTCCGCTTCACAGGGGTGCAGCTTCGGCCTCTTCCCAATCTACTGGAGTGAAGCCCAGCGCATCTGCTCCCGAACCCACCCAAGAGTGTTCACACGGGGGGCGGCTGCCCTGGGGTGCAAAGCAGAGCCGTTCTCCTGTGGCGACTAGCCCCAGGGTGGGGGGGTCCACCTGCAAACACTGCCCCCTCCTGGCCCAGCAGTGAATGGGTGAAAGGCTGGTTCCAGCACGGAGCCTGCCCTGGGTCCGGGCGTGAGTCCTCAGCCAGAACTCGCCCTAGATCCCTGTCCCGCACCTTGCTGTCGGAAGCGAAGACGTACAGGGCCAGCGGCCGCTCCCGGCTGTTGATGAAGGCGATGGCTTCGTCCACGTTGGGCACGGTGACGATGGGCAGGATGGGCCCAAAGATCTCCTCCTGCATGGCAGGCTCCGATGGCTGCACGTCCGCCAGCACCGTGGGGGCTGTGGGGAGGGGGGGGCATCACTCACTGCACAGGGGCACATGGCAGCCCTGACCCGCCATGGGTCTGCCTCCATCCAGCCCTGCCCTGCCACTGGAACTCCCCACAGGCCCTGCCCTGCCACCAGAGCTCCCAGCGCTCATTTCTCCACCATCGGGGCTCCCCCTGCCCTGCCTGGATCCCTGGATACTCAGCCCAGAGCCCCACGCCGTGGCATGGGTCCCCCAGAGCCCTGGGGGCGGGGCCCTCACCGATGTAGCGCTCCCTCTCGTCCGTCTGCCCCC